CTTTCAGCCATGCCTGGCTAACAATACAGAAGTTACAATGACGCAGCACTCGTGTTACAGTATCAAATAACATAAAACTGACAAAGTGATCTGTCTTGGCTGTTTTAGTGGACAAGTATTTTGTAAAATACTGTCACATTTCAACTATTATACAATATGTATATAGATTATTACTATTTACACATAACTTCTTAAACTTATTTTTCTTAAGACACAGAACAGTAAATTAAGAAGTAAAGCAAACAATTATCTCTTCTAGATCTGACCTTTGTACTTGTTTGCTGCTTGTCATAGCTCGCTAAGCCTTAAGAAATTTTGCACGTGTAGGATGTGGAACGAAATAATTTTTTTTGTTCTATATATATATACATTTGAATAACCAAAAAATAATAAATTACTATATTGATACCAGAGAATTCCACTATAATTTATCAAGCTTAGTAACTAAGGTGTATTTTGGTCTAAAAAAATATGAAATTTCAAGCAGACTTGGTTCAAAAGAAGGAAATAGCACCAAGTCCGTTCAAATGACTGAGAAAGCCACTAGGAGGCATTCTGAGCTTCCGATTGGATATTCATGTCATATATATAGAAGTAAGCCCATATAAGGGAGTGTTTCCAAAAATGAAAAGAAGTGGGCAGAGTGCCACTGTGTTTCATTCAGTACATGAGCAATATTTCAGCAAATAGAAAAGATAGGAGGTTCTTATTTTATATTCTAGCTTGTCAATATTGGTGATTTTAGTTCCTAATTTGTATAAAACTATAGAATTTGAATTCGGACATCACAAACATCTAATTTGAACCAGTGCTGCATTCAACATACCACACGACACAAAAATCGATATTTAGGTGCGTTTTTTTAATATTAACTTTTAAATTAAGAAATTAAATAATATATAATACTGAAACTTGAATTATAATCTACAGTTTGATACCAAACTTAATGACATAAATTCATAAAATAGTAATTGAATAAAATTTGGAATGCGAGTCAACAAATGCGATGACATGGCCTTTGGCCCGTGTTGAAAGGGTTAAGTTGCGTGAATAAATAACTGATAATTTTTAATTATATAAGTACAAGTGAGATATCACAATTTGAAGTATAAGCATAATTTTGAAGAGAATAACATTAACAGTTTCATGGAAGAAAAGGATCTTGGTGTTCTGGTTGATCAGTCTCTTAAGCTGTCCACGCATATGATATTTCTAGTGGCAGGGCAAATAGGATTTAAGGTTATATCTACAGAAATACTGAATACAAGGCTAAATAAGGATATGATGTCATTGTTTAGTTCATGGGTGTGAAGTCTTAATCTTGGGCTCATCTTAGAAAGTACAGTGAATTGTTGGAAAGGGTTCAGAGAAGGGCTATTACAATAGAACTGATATTACAAAAACACATTATCTTTTATTGATTTAATTGTAACAATGATAGGACTAGGGGGTATTAATATAAATTTGGCAGGATAGGAGTCATTTTCTGTGTAATCAATTTTCGTTTTCTAACAGGGTGTTTGGCTTTTGGAATGGGTCATCTTCAAATGTGGCGTATGCAGTAAAGTTAAGGAAGTTCTAGGGAGAGTTTGATAAATATTCGAATAATAATAACTGGCTTCGAGTTGTTTTTTAAGTATAGTGGATCAATAGGTCTCCTCTTGTCCTTAAATTTTATATTATGTGTAAAATATCTGCTTGCCCAGTCTTGGAAATACAAAAAAAAACAATAACTAGAAAAAAGTTAAGCATTCTTTCAAATCCCTCTCTTCAAGATGCTAATTTAATGCACATAAATCTTTTCACGAATGTAGGATTTGGTGGAAAAAAAAAAGGTTTGCTTTACACACAAAGATTAGTTTACTGTATTTCAGTTTTAACTCTACCGACAAGCCATCAAAATGTTTAATCAAATGCACAAAGCCCCCACCCCCAAGTTACTTTTAGTCTGGCAGATAATATTTTTGAGATAACAATTTCATTCATTCTAAATGAAATGTATAAAACACAATGAAATTAAAGATGCACTTACTTTATACCACATAGGTAAACTATTGAGAAAACAGACGACACTTTCATCAAGATACGGAAAACGTCCTTCCCTTCCATGATCTGTTATGACTCTATATGGGAAATTTCATAAATCCAATAATTATAAACAAATGAAATCAACAACAACTAACAGTACGAAAATAACATTCAACAGATCATACAAGTTTGACGAATGATGTGCAAACAAAATAAAAATGAATGTGCTCACCCTTTCAGCCATAGGGTCATTATAATGTAATTGTCAATGTCACTATTTGTTGGTAAAAAGGGTAGCCTGAATGGTCAATCTCACTATTTGTTGGTAAAAAGAGTAGCCCAAGAGTTGTAAGTGGGTGATATTGACTAGTTGCCTTCCCTCTAGTCTATCACTGCTAAATTAGGGACAGCTAATGCAGATAGCCCTTGTGTAGTTAAGTTTTTGTATTATATAGGAAACAAATTACTACTAATAAAGACAACATACTTAGCAAACTTTGTAACTGTGTTAGAGGACAGTAACATGTGTTTTATACCCCTTAGTTAAAATGTAAATGTTTTTGAAGTTATTGTGTTTTTTCAGAGTTTCTAGTTTGGATTTATTTAAATAAACATTTCGACTCTCGTTATTTTTGTCCATAAAAGATGCGAGTTCATTAACAAAGAATTAGCAGTTTCTTACAGGGAAGATAGCATGTGACATACAGAAATAGAAAACTGTCTTCTCTTTCAGTGAATCGAGTAACAGTCGGGCTGCCACACCCTAGCACTCGATTCACAGTGGACAAGGATCATATGTGTGAGGTGCATTCATGTACAAACCTGGCTTTGTTAGTCCTATTATGTTTTGTATTTAAAGCTGGTAAGAAAATTGAATAAAGGTTTCACCATCTCTCTTATCAGTTTGACACACACAATAAAAAACTTAACCTTGTTTTGTTTTTGTATTGTGTTTGTCATTGTGAATAAAGATTACTGTTCTCATACACTTTTTCGCTTTGACTCTTTCTTCTCAACAACTGTGGTTAGAGACTGAATTTTTCCACATTCTGAAGTATTCACTGAAACTCCAGATAATGGACCTTAATCCTCTGCTCTGCAAGAAAACCATAAAATGGGGAATACCACAGAAATAAGTTATTTAAATGGATTCAGAGATTGTAAAAAAATATTATTATTAATATTTAATCAATATAAACATTGTGGGCCCCAACTGTCTGCTCTGCCGGAAAGCCACGTAACGGGGAATATCACAGAAATAAGCAATTTTATTTCTTTATACATTAATTCGTCTTTACACTTGTTTATTTAATAAATTTTTCTAGTACAATGGAGAACACAGTATGCTTCTGTTAACTAAGTGTACAAAGGTGGCTCCCCAGGATGAGGTTCATCAATTGTAGTACACTTCTGCTAACCAAGTGTACAAAGGTGGCTCCCCAGGATGAGGTTCATCCATTGTAGTACACTTCTGTTAACTAAGGGTACAAAGCTGGCTCCCCAGGATGAGGTTCATCCATTGTAGTACACTTCTGTTTATTTGTGTTTTTTTTTTTATTAATCAGGCATATGTATAATGGCACGTTGAGTCTCAAATATGCACTTCTAAATTTGTTTGTTAGAGCCACCTTTGTACACTTGGTTAACAGAAGTGTACTACAATGGATGAACCTCATCCTGGGGAGCCAGCTTTGTACCCTTAGTTAACAGAAGTGTACTACAATGGATGAACCTCATCCTGGGGAGCCACCTTTGTACACTTAGTTAACAGAAGTGTACTACAATGGATGAACCTTATCCTGGGGAGCCACCTTTGTACAATTGGTTAACAGAAGTGTACTACAATGGATGAACCTCATCCTGGGGAGCCACCTTTGTACACTTGGTTGTCACTGGAAAAAACACTTCTGTTTTACATTTCTTGTGATTTACAAATTAACAACTAAATAATATAGGGAAGTTACAAAACATTTTTCTCAGTATTTTAGGTCAGAAAATTGTAACTGTTCTACTAATCATCAAGGTGCAGGTTTCTTTATTTCCCTGACTCTAATTATAAACTAATAAATTTTCTTTCTATTCAAGCCTTATATATTTTTTGAGTAATCAACTTAGCAAATAACGTACAAGTTTTCTTGAACTGCCGATAGACACGAATCATTCTGAAATGTTTATAAAACCTTTGAATTTGAGAATTTACAATAAAGTGTTCAGGGAGATCTTAGTATTGCATTGTAGTTTTCACCTGTCATCTCTTCCAAGGTTTCTTGATGATATTCTGTCAATTTCCAAAGCAACTTCTTCAATTAAGCCTTTCCACCCTTTATTTCTGAAAATAAAAATTAAAGAATATACCTTGAAAAGAACACTGGAAAAAGAAATTATAAAAACTTTACATTTAGTACTAGCCACCATTGTGTATGTATAAAATAAAATAATTCATTTTCTGTAGATTTTAAGTAATGAAAGCAATGAATGTAACCAGGACATTTGAGCCTATAGTTAAAAATCTGGTTTAGAAAGATATGACCCGAGTACATATAATTACAGTGATTTTTATTTTTCAAATTCATTGGTAAAATAAGAAGATAAATGATGGCACAAACTTAATTCTTTCTCTCTAAAAGTCTATTTTATATTTTAGTTTTCTGAAAGTACTATAATAGTAATGTAAATAAACAACAACAGCTAAACTGTTAACTACTTCTAACAGATAGATTTGAAGAGTTTTGAAAGTATATTTCTCACGATTTTTATCAGTAACATAAATATCTTTTGTCATATTTCATTACTGGAGTTAGTCTAAAAGGTCCACATTACAATTCTGTGTTCATTCTTTAGGTAAACAATACAATCTTTATGAACTGTTTTACTATGAAAGATAAAATAATTCTATGATTTAATGCACTGCATAAAATGTTTTCACGATAAAAACATTGACTCTTTTAATATTATATTTTAAAAACATACACTAATATACACAAATGTTTTTGAGTTAAAGACTATCTCTATATGAATGAAAGTTTGGTTTTACAGAGAAAGGTGATTCCTCATACTAAAAATTATTCAATAAAGTTTACAAAAACCTTAAGTTGCTGTACATACCTATTATATCTAAGATGAGTAGTTTATTGTGTGTTAGGGTAAATTTTAGTCCTTCCTTCTCGTTTTGTTAATGGTCAGTTACTTAATTATTATTGTGAATTTAGGTGTGTCTATAGTATTAACTCTATCGCAACGGTCATCCTTTACTGAGCATGTCACAAGGTTTTAGTGACTTACATTCAAAATTTTATTAAACTACTTTTTGTTTATGTTATACTAATTAGTATAGCATAAAATTTTAGTTAATAATCCATATTTTAATAATATTAAAGTTTTAAGTTCTTAATTTTATGAAACAATATTAAAAAAAATCCTGAATTTCCCCTAGTGATTTTCTCTAGACATCTCCTCTTCTCTATTTTATCCACCACACTTCCAATAAGTACGAAATTGAATGTAAATTACTCACCATAAAATCATCATTGCTCAGACAAACCATAATTACAGCATGTGGAACACATTCTGTGAAATTTTTGAAGTGTCTATGGTTCCAGACTTTTGGATGCCCTGTATACAATGGACAGCCACTTCTTAAAGGAATTTAATCAATCTTATAACACTTTGTTTTGTTTGTTTGTTGAATTTTGCACAAAGTTACTTGAGGGCTACCTATGTTAGCCGTTCCTAATTTAAAAGTGATAGACTAGGGGGAAGGCAGTTTGTCAAGACCGCCTTTCTCAAGTCTTAGTAGTAAGATTAACTCTCACATCATAACACCCACACAAGTGAAAGGGCAAGCATGGGATTCAAACTCACAACTTGTAGATTGCATTTTGCACTTTAACCACCAGGCCTCTAACATTTTGACATTTATCACAGCTGGGATAAACCCTGAAATGATAAAATGTGTGTATCTGTTTGAAAGAAAGAAAAAAAAGAATATATCGAATTCTGCATTTGTCTAATGGTTTGAAAAACGAGGATAAAAGCTAAAAAAGTGGTGAAGGTTGTAAAATACGAGTTTAGATCTAGGAATCTTTATAAACTTGATTTTCACTTACTTAAACTTTACACGATGCCTTGAATAGCCAGCTAACTGTTCATCAGCTCCCATACCAAGAAGTACGACCTACAGGGAAGAAATAATATTTTATTAATATAAAAAACATTAGACTCTTAATAATAGCTCTTAAAATATACTGACAACAACAGCTAACCAAGTAGATCTGATATTTTACCTGTAACTTTCACTTAAACTACAATAAAGACATCATGACTACTTAATTGTGGCATTTTCACCAGCTCAAAGGAAAATTTAATGCTATCAAACTACTGCTATATCACTAAAAAGATATTTCACTGCAAATGAAATGATATTATTGGCATTTTGAATCAACAAATAAATTGTATTCATAGTAAGATACATTTTGGAGTATATTTATATAATAAAATCATTAGAACTGTTATATAACTGGTTACTACAACTGATTGCCTCACAACTGACTATAACTAACTCATTAATTAGAATGAAAGGACACTTTAAGTAGATAAATATATAATAAGGACAGTAATAATAACCAGTTTCTGCTGGTTTCTTATAACTTACATTTAAGATGTCTTTGAAAGTAAGCAAGATGTGTATGTGACGTTTTTTTGTGTTTTTCTTAAATTACCTTAGTATATGTATTTAGGACTAACCTAAAACTCTGAACCTCACGTGATATTACCGGGTTTATGGCCAAAATCATCATCATCATTAACAGTGCCCAACTGATGAAACAATGCATTCTAATCTTTTATAAGTAGATACGTAATAAAAGTATATGTAATTAGCTATACTGATGGCCAGGTCGATTTTCAGTTTTGCCCTATGTACATAGCTTACTCTAATTGGTAATTATTATTATTTACATAATACATTATTCTAACTCTTCTAGGAATGTGTAACAAAAGGAATGTTTTGGAAGCACTTACAATTTCTCAAAAACACAGTGAAAGTGTCAGTTTTTCACTGGTTAAGAAGCACTCTCTATAAAAGTTTGAATATTAATACTGATATCAATAAATGGAACAAAAAATCAAATAGATGCTGTTTTGGTTTCTTCACAGTTCATTTTATTACAATCATAAAAGTTTCTTAGGAGGTTGAGTTCACTGTAGTAAAAGAACATTTACTACAGGCATCAAATTAATCATTTACAAACAACCATTTCCATGTTTTTCTTAAAATTTTCTCACTGAACAAGTAACACCATTAGTATTACATTTATCAGTCTCAAATGTGCATGGTTATTAGTCATTTCCAGTTGCTTTGTTTGTTTTGAAAATTATCCCAAAGTTACGCAAGGGCTATCTGCACTAACCATCCTTAATTTTAAACCTAAAGACAACAGGAAAGGCAGATATTCAACAACAAGAGACTGTAAAGATATAAAATTCAGTAACCCAAAAGACAGATATTTAACAACAGGAGACTGTGAAGATTTAAAGTCTCTTGTTGTTGAATATCTGCCTTTTGGGTTACTGAATTGGGTTACTGAATTATAAATCTTCACGAATATCTGCTTTTAACAACAAGAGACTGTGAAGATTTAAAATTCAGTAACCTATAGAATTATACAAGCTTTTATATCTCTGTCTACATCAGTGAAAAAGTGTTATTTTTATTACTCTGTAAAACATTTCTGTGTAAAAATATTCTTAATGTACAAAATGAATCACATAATATAAATCTTAAGAACAAAATAAACAACTTTATTTTTCAAAGTTTTAACAGGCTAACAAATGTACTAAGCTAAAGTTACTTAAATTAAGTAGATCATGTGTTAATTTATTTTCTTTTTCCAGAGTACAATTTACTACCTTAACTTAAAATATCTTAATAATCAAATAACTTATTCTAAAATACGTTTTCTCACTGATTACTGATTTAAAACTACTTGTAACATACTATATATATATATAACACACTAGTAGGCCTAATAATTTTGTATTCACCACTGGACAAAAAAAGGCTAAAGGCCGGTTTGTTCACAGAAGCTTGTAAATGTTATCATGTATTAGATTTCTATTCCTCAAACAAGCTTCACATTTTATTCTTATCATGAAATTATACTTTGGTGAAAATTCAAAGACACCTGCATAGAACCAGTAAATAATAGAGAAAAACTCACTCTTGCAGGACTTGTATATGGTTCGTAAGAATTACTGTCACTCCAAATAACACCACTTCCTCTTGCAGCAAACCAAGAAGCACAACCCAGGCTATCATCTAATACAGTTGCACAAGGATAGACGAGTTGTCTAATACAATCCTGTCTAATGAAAAGTACAAATGAGGTTGAAATAAATTACAACAGAGAAACTTACTCCCATTGTACTGATCAGCTGGAAAAAATATATTACAATTTTACAAACATTTAGTGAAATGAGTATAAAATAATCATATTCTAAACAGAACACGAACATTAGACAGTACCTAAATACAATTGTTTAAAATGTAACTCATATTTTTATGAATGTATAATAATAAAAGGTAGCTCCTTAAAGAATTCTCTTCTACTGTTTTATGTCCAGAAAGAGAACTAAAGAGATTAGTAGTTTATTAAAAAAACTTGGACTAGAGGTTGTAAAAAATACCACTGTATAGAAAACGGGTTCAATGATGAGAAACATTTCGATAATACCAAAAGAACAAAGAACAGATCTCTTACTCTTTTATAACTTTTCTAGTTACTAAAAAAAATAATATAAATGCAAAGTTACTGAGCTACTATAATGGGCTAATCATGTCTTAAATAAAAATAATATTTTTCTTTTAATTAGCAATAACAGCTCAAAGAAATGGATGGGTATGACCTAGTGCAGATTGAAAGGTCTGAGTTAGAGCTACTCGTGCCTTTGAATACACCATGCATTTTCATTTCTGGGGGTTATTAAAGCTATCAGAGTCAATCTCACTATTTGGGGGTATTACAGCTATCAGACTCAATCTCACTATTTGGTTAAAAACAGCTATCAGAGCCAATCTCACTATTTGGTTAAAAACAGCTATCAGACTCAATCTCACTATTTGGTTAAAAACAGCTATCAGACCCAATCTCACTATTTGGTTAAAAACAGCTAT